CCAAGGCACCCAGTGGGAGGGGACCCAAAGTAAGCTCCACAGAGCTCCCCGCACCGCTGGTCTCAGCAAAGCTGGGGCGGCTTCACGAGCCACCACGGTGCCCCTCAGGGCTGGTCACAGATCCCAGCCTCCGGGCACTGGGAGCTCAGGGTGGGAGGGCTCCTCCCCTCCCCCGCGCCATACAGATTCAGCGCTTTCTGGGGCTCAGCACGATGCCCCCAGGGAGGCAGTGGGTCCCCGTGTGCGGCTGCTCAGTGCAGTCCTCTGCCTGTCTCTTATACACATCTAGATGTGTATAAGAGACAGGTCCAATTTTCCCAGCACCATTTACTGAAGATTCGGTCCTTACTCCATTGGATGCTCTTGCCTCCTTTGTCAAATATTAACTGACCATAGTGGTGTGGGGCTATTTCTGGGGTCTCTGTTCTGTTCCATTGATCTTTATGCCTGTTGTTGTACCAATACCAGGCCGTTTTGATTACAATGGCTTTGTAGTACAGTTTGAAGTCTGGTAATGTGATCCCTCCCACTCTGTTCTTCTTTCTCAAGACGGCTGCAGCTATTCGGGGTCTTTTTCGGTTCCATATAAATTTTCGAAATGTTTGTTCTAGGTCTGTGAAATATGCTGTTGGCATTTTCATAGGAATTGCATTGAATTTATAAATTGCTTTGGGTAGTATGGACATTTTAATGATATTAATTCTCCCAACCCATGAGCATGGTATCTTCTTCCACTTGTTTAAATCTCCCTCTATTTCTTTTTTCAGTGTCACGTAGTGTTCTGAGTACAGGTCTTTTACATTCTTGGTTAAGTTTATTCCTAGGCATCTTATGTTTTTAGTTGCAATGGTAAATGGTATTGCTTTTTTAGTTTCTCTCTCTGAAAGTTCATTGTTGGTGTATAAGAATGCCATTGATTTCCGGATGTTGATTACCAGAGTGATTTTTACTAAGAATGCTGAGTGAGAGGAGTCCCAAGAGTGTGTATCTTAGGATACCCTTTTTATAACAGAGACAAAAGGATTGTGGTTACCATTGGGGTATGTGGGAGGAAGGTGAGGGGAGCATGGGTTATTATGTAGGGGTTATCTTCTGCTTGTTGTGATAGATTCTTAAATATTTAAATTTTTAACTGTTTGAAACCTTGCCACTTCGGATGAATCTAAGTTGGGCAGGAA